TTGATCAATATTTAGGAGAGAAGGGAGAGTTCTCTCTACCGTCTCTTCCACCTCCAGTACCTCCTCTATGACTAAAATACCAGGGACTCTTTCCATACCAGATGTTAGTTAACTATGAGTGAATAAAAGTAAGATGTTAACATGTATACTCTTAAAATTGGGGGGTCAAAAATTGTGACTGATACTTCAAATTAGAGAAAAAGCAACAGGAGGAGCAGTACAGTTCTTTCTGAAGCATCCCCTTGTGTCCACGAGTTGGGCTGTGTCAGCTCCAGCAGGTTCCCTAGAAGCAGAACCTGAGGCAGCCTTGTGGGCCCTGTGGCTTATTGGAGAGCCAAGCAAGTGGGGCAGAAAGGAGAAAGAGCAGAAAGAATAGGATTTCAGACAAAGCTGATGGGGCCGCCACAGAAGCTGCCCTGTCTCGAGACAGAGGTTAAGGTTTGTGCACAACCAGGGAGGAAGGGAGGAGTTCACATTCCAACTCCCAGGCACCTCAGGGTGAAGAGGAAGAAGGGTATGAGCTGGGCAGGACACCTTGCCCTAACCATGAAGCAGATTCTAGAGTATCTGGCAGGGCACCAGCCCTGGCTATGACCAGGAATAAGGAAGAAGCAGTGAAAAGGGAAAGAAATGGGCTCTCCACATGGCCTGCACCGACAGTTATAAACCACATCTGGGGAGCAGAGACGCTCTCTGAGTGAAACACCCGCGAACACCCATAAGCTTCCCCAAGCACTGTGGTCCTGGATTTCACAAGTCTGCACAGCAGGCTGTCCAGAGTCACCAGCCACTGTAGGCCCATTCACCTGGACTGTCACCACAGATTGCAGGAAGAAAGCTCTCTGGTCTAGCAGGGAAATATTCTGTTACCGTTTTTTCAGTCTCTCCCACTAAAACCCTCCCTTTGCTTGGCCTCCCTGTGACCTATCCCCTCCCTAATGCAAGCTTATTTGATGTCCAAAGTCCACATGTGAGTAGTCATTTGTCCAATACCTTTGAGTGTTTCCAAAAGTTCAAAGTCATGTTATGAAATAAGAGACAAGATTACAACCAAAAAAGAGAGCAGGGTAGTGGCACAGCAGTCACAGTGGTCTGCAAGGCTGACCCCAGGGGAAGGTTCTGGGTTCAGGTCCAGAGACTGCCCAGAACACACTAGTGCAGTGCACATGCCTTTGGTCTTAGTCTGGCTGACGTTAAAGGGGATCATGTCATCGAGTCCCCATTGTGGGTTCTCTCTCTGTCTCTCTCTTTGTCTCTCTCTCTCTTTCTCTCTCTCTCTCTGGGTCATATGGCAAGAAAATAAATAAACCGAAAAGGTTCTGGGTTCAGGTCCAGAGACTGCCCAGAACACACTAGTGCAGTGCACATGCCTTTGGTCTTAGTCTGGCTGACGTTAAAGGGGATCATGTCATCGAGTCCCCATTGTGGGTTCTCTCTCTGTCTCTCTCTTTGTCTCTCTCTCTCTTTCTCTCTCTCTCTCTGGGTCATATGGCAAGAAAATAAATAAACCGAAAAAAAATCACTCTTTGTCTCTCTCTCTTCCTCTCTCTCTCTCTGAGTCATATGGGAAGAAAATAAATAAACCAAAAAAAAATCACAACCAAAACAAACAAAGGTTGATTAAAATGTAGTTCTGGACTTCTACCTCAAGACTCCCTACCCCAGCTCCAGCCCTAGCACCCCCAAGCAGAGAGACCCTCTATCTCTGTCAGCCAGGACTGCCTCCAGCTCTACAGCAGACCCCACTTCCATCTCCAGACACCTGGCCTAAGGGACACTGAGGCAGGGCCCCCTTCCCCAGCTCCAGCCCGAACACCTCCAAGCCCAGAGACCCTCTATCTCTGTCAGCCCAGTAGGCTTTTTTTTCCCTTCTCTTCTTCTTTCATTTGTTAATTTCACACTTCTCCTTACCATATAGGACCGCCCCCGGCTCTACAGCAGACCCCACTTCCATCTCCAGACCTCTGGCGAAATTGCCCGCTAGCGTGTGGCATGCAACTTTTTCTTTATTCTCCTTCTTTCTTCCCACTTATTTGGTCCTCTCTTCCTCTCCCTCCACCCTTTTAGATGGACTACATAAGTCTAGAATCACAGTTCTGAAATACCTTAGTATTGTAAGACTCCCTGAGGTCCTCCTTTTTACTGAACCACCTGTGAAAAGGGAGATACTGCTCTCAGACATCTGAATAGAATACTCCTCCTTGAAGCTCATTGCTAAACACAACAGAAGAGAGACTTCGGTACACATCAGTGCACAGCACAACGGACACGCACTTGCTCCTAGTCAAAGAATCATTCTCCTAAAAGGTATTCCTAAGTGACTACATCTCCCAATGGCTAGAAATAGAAGAGCCTCAGATCTGAACAAACCAGGAAATATGTCTCCATCAAAAGAACACAGTAACTCCCTTACAATTCTTGAAAAAACAGGAAGTTACCAAAATGTCAGAAAAAGAATTTAGAACATTCATGGTTACCAAATTGTATGAATTGGAAGAGAAAAGAGACAACGAACTACAGGAGATTAGGAAGTCCTTCTATGACATGAAAAAAGAAATGGACACGCTAAGAAAGAATCAGATGGAACTATTAGAGATAAAGTCTGTAATACAGGAAATCAACAACTCTCTCAAAAGTATTAAAAGTCAGTTAGACCATGCTGAAGATCGAATCTCTGACGTAGAAAATAAAACCTCTAACCTAGAGAAAACCACCAAAAGGACAGAGAAAATAACAACAACAACAATAAAAACACAAGGATAATATATGAGAAATACTAGATTCCATTAGATGCCATAACATCGGAATAATTGGTATCCCAGAAGGTGAAGAAACTAATAAGGATATGGAAAATCTATTCCATGAAATCCTGGAAGAAAATTTCCCAAGTCTAGAGAGGCACTCAAGCATCCAGACCCAAGAAATACAAAGGACTCCAAATAGAATCAACCCAAGAAGATCTTCCCCAAGGCATGTCATAGCCAGAATGGCTAAGACCACAGATAAAGATAAGATACTAAAACTGGCAAGAGAGAAACGACAAGTGACTTACAAAGGTCACCCCATCAGGCTAACACCGGACCTCTCAACGGAAACAACGCAAGCAAGGAAAGAACGGGAAGATGTACTGAAAGTGTTAAGAGAGAAACAATTTCAACCAAGATTATTATATCCTGAAAGATTATCCTTCATATGGGAAAAAAAAAAGTTAAAAATCTTCTCAGACAAACAAAACCTGAAAGAATTTGCCAACACCAAACCAGCTCTTTAAGAAACCCTGAAGTAATGTTCCAGGAAAACTAAAGAATTAACAGCCAGAAATAAAGGAATAAAAGGCATCCAAGACAATGACCAACTTAAACATCAGGACAGATCTGGTAACATCAATAATAACATTGAATGTGAATGGATTAAATTCTCCAATCAAGAGACACAGACTGATTGAATGGATAAAAAATCAGAAACCCTCTATCTGTTGCCTACAGGAAACCCGCCTCATAGACAAAGACATAAATAGAGTGAAAGTGAAGGGTTGGAAAAAGGTTTTCCATGCAAATGGGAACCAAAAAAGAGCTGTAGTCACAATACTAATTTCTGACAAAATAGGCTTTAAAACAAAAACTGTTCAAGAAGGGTCAATCCATCAAGAAGATATAACATTTATAAATATCTATGTACCTAACACAGGAGCACCCAAATATGTGAAGGAAAGACTGTTAGATCTAAAAGACTAATAGACTACAACACACTAATTGTTGGCGACCTTAACACCCCACTATCCCCTCTGGACAGGTCATCTAGACAAAAAAAATGGGTAAAGAGATGAAGGATCTAAATGATACCATAAATCAAATGGACTTAACAGACATATACAGAACTTTCCATCCAAAATCCACGAGATACACTTTTCTCTCACCCCTCATGGAACCTTTTTGAAGACTGACCACATCTTAGGGCACAAAGCAAGCCTCTACAGATTCAAAGGCATAGAAACTATATACAGCATCTTCTCCGAACATGATGGAATTAAACTTCAGTTTAATTTAAAGAGAAATCCTCAAAAATACTCAAATACATGGAAACTAAATAACCTAGTCCTGGGACAAGCAGAATGCGTAATGACTATATTGCTGGACTCCCATGTAGTTGACCGC